AACCCCTAGGTAAAGAAATTCACAACACCAAGTTGTTATACATGCTTTGCTGATATAAAGATGAAAACATTAGAATTGTAAAATTGCTATTAAAATTGTATTTAATATCACATTTCAGTGACTAGAAATTAATTTCAATTCTCACAAACTGATTACAGGGAAAGTCATCAAGCTGTCTCATGTATCTGAAGATGACTTAAAAGATCTTTTTCATTTCCAAACCGCATTAAACAATCGGTACATTTATGAGGCAAGTCTGCTGAATGCCTGAAATCCAAATGAGTTTTAAGGTCTTCAATCTGTCCTGTTGAATATTCACAGTATTGACACAAATAAATCCCTTCAGATAAATGAGAGCTTAAATGCTTGCAATATTCCAACATACCTGAAAAGCCCTTCCCACAGTCATCGCAAACATGAGGGAATATTTTGGTGTGTTCAATAGCTACGTGCCTGTTGACATTTGTATGCAGCCTGCTCCGAAAGCCGCACACTTGGCACACAAAGAAGTTTTTGCATTTGTCAAAACTGATTTTGTTTATGAGACTGTACTGTCCACGCTCCTTGTTATTATAGCTGTCGCTTAACTCTATCAGTCGGCACGCGTGTTCGTTCACCACATGGCTATGCAGATCTTCTGGATCATTTGTTTCATGCTCACAGAACTGACACAAATACTGCTCGTCACAGCTGTGTTCCTGGAAGTGCAGGTACAACTCACTGCTCGAGGAGAACTGCACGTCGCACTGCTCGCACCAATAAAGGTGGTCATTGAAGTGAGTGTCTGCTATATGCTGACTCAGATTCTCAAATATCACTGTTTTGTAATCGCAATATTTACAGATGTACGGGTCCTCCTCGTGTAGTTTTACATGTTCAATGAGCTGCACTTTGCTGGAGAAGCTTTCTTTACAAACTTTACAGACATGAGTGTCTGTGCATGTCTTATGCTTCAGGATCATGTGCTGCTTTAAATCAGAAAAGTACTTGCTATTAAAGTCACAGAGCTCACACTTGTACAAGCCACTGCTGTTGGCTCTCAGTAAAGGCCATTTCTGTTGAGCCGTGATATTCAAAGCCTGGTTCTTCTCAAAGATTTTGCAGGTTTCCAGAGGGATTTCCTCCAAGTCCTCAGCTTCCAGCTTCTCAGGTGACACAGTTTGTGTTTCTATATCGTGAACTTCTACAGCATTCACTTCTGTTGTAGAAATTTCTACAGTTTGAATATCTAGAGGCTTCTCTTCTTCTGTAGGGCTGTCACTGAATATAGGTGAATCGCATAAGTCTCTGCACATTCCATTATTAGTGCCTTTATCTGCGGGAGGAAACAGATAATAAAAGCAAAATGTTGAAAAAACCCTGCACAACACCTAGGTCCATATTTAACTTTTCAGTTAGTTGTATCAGATGCAAAATCCAATTATTTTTCCCCAGCCAGATTATGTATTATGTTTAACTAACAAACGAATAATGCAAAGTACAAATTCTTTGGCTCTTCTGTCAAAGCTAAGAAGTTACATCAAAAGCCAGCAGCCACGCTCTCCAGCTTCCCAGCACCTAAACTGCAAAGACACCTTTACCTTTATCCTTCTTCTTAGGGTCTGTACAGTGCAACCCCACAGCGTTTGAATGTGACCCACTCCACTGAGAAGTCCCAGCGTGCACGGGACTCCCATCATCATCTGTGTCTAGGCTCTGCACAGGACTGTGGAATCTACCTGCAAAGATAAAAGGATTTGCTTGTCATCATTTGTCTATACTAGCATCATCATGATTCTTTAACCATAGATCTCATCTTCTATTTACTTATTCTAGTTGCGTAAATTTATCTTTATATATTAATTGCATCATAACCTATGTTACAGAAAGTGGCAACTGTCTTTAAAATTTCAGCAAAAAACAGTAAATTAATTATACTGGAAAAAAACTTTAAATCCTTAAATAAAACTTCACATTTGAAAAACAATTTAAAAAAATATTCTTAACTATTTCTGGACATCACATTTTAAAATATAATACTTCGTAAGATTTCTGGAGACTTGCTGGCTAGTTTATTAGAGTAAAAAGAAAAATAAATACAATAAAAGTCCATCCTCACGTTTGCTCTGCTAAACTTTACATCCATTAGTGGATGTTGCATAAAAAGGCATTTTGTTTTCTGTAAGTACAGTTGAATGTTATTGCTGGTAAATTCCATGTGAACTGTTAGATTATTTACATCAGCTCTACATTACTTAGCTATTGGATATTTAGATAAATAAGTCTAATCATCATTAGAGATGCTGTAAAATGGAAGGATCTTTTTGTTGTCATAATTTCTGTTTTGAAAACTGTATTTCAACTAGAGTGATTAAACAGCCTTCCACCAGTCTACAGCATATTAGACCACGAGGATGCTCTGAAGTCACTCACTACATATTTTATATTCTATTTACTTCTAGGAACAGGAGCATGATACACGTAGTAAAGAACTGCAGAATAAGATCCCAAAATGTATTCTTACCTCTGCTTTCAGTAAACTTTATATCTGGCTGTTTCATAGAACAGACACTGTAGCAGTGGTCAGAAAAAATTCCACTGTTGTCTATGTATTTGCTTGCACCTGAAGAATCTGAAGAAAAAAAAAGTATTAAGTTTTTATACTGACACATTGACATAGCTACATACGTATTTCATGCTCTCCAAAATTCTCCTCACCAGCTGCATCTTTACTTCTTGTGTTGGGAGAACCCTGTGCTTGCCTGATAACATTACGGTTGTGATTTACAACTTTCAGCTGCTCTCTTGATGTGTGGATTATCAGATACAGTCATTATCAAACTCGGCTCCCACTGAAGACTGTGACAGGAACACAGTTCATTCCACGCTGAACGCCTCTGGACACCCCCATCCCAACTTTTGGAAAATTCCTCCCCTTGTGCGTTAGTAGAATCATCTTCGTTTTGTAGCTTGAGCAAGTTTCCCCATTTGCAGGGAGCACAGAACAAAACCATTCCAATGCATTGACTGAAAGCGGCTTAACAGAGCACGCAGAGCAGGTACTCAAAACATTCGGATCAAGACTTCTTATCCCACCCTTGTCTTACTGGTCTTCTATGCATGAGCACATACAGCCCCTTCTCATAAAGTAATTATTTTGAGAAAAAAATAAACTTACTGGACTGTATGTAACTCAAGCTCTACACTGACCTGAATATCGAGAAGGATGCAGAGTCTTCCTTTTCCTCTTTTTAGGATGTTCATTCATTTTGAATAGCCTGAATTAATTGCAAAGTGAAAATATTCATGAATTAGACTTGTACCTAGTTTATCTTTCATGACTTTATGAAACAATAGAAATATTTTCAAAATCCGCATGTTAAAACATGAGGTTTTCTCCTCCTCCCCTTTCTCACCTCCCAGCCCATTTTGTTACAGTCAAGAACACATTATGTGCACACAGGTACTCAAGTCTAGTTTCATATTCCTGCCCTGGAACAAAAGAAGGTTCACATAAAGGCAGACAGGTCAGGACTCCAGTGTAACCTCAGTGTAACCTACGAGGCAGTTCTCCAGCACTGTTGTCTTTTGTCAAAAACCAGATACTCTGAGGCAGAGTCCTTCAGATAAAGTTTTAATGTTCAAAATACTAACAAAAGTCATCTCTCTTACCAAAAATCCTAGACTCTTCAGTATCAGCAAGCAGAGCAGCTAAGAAGCTGACAGCTGTACAGCTTCCAAACGTAGTGAATACATCAGCTCAAGAAGATTTCCATCTATGGAGTGACAGTATTTTAAAACACCTTAAAACTTCGGCACAAAATAAACAGAATCAGACACATAAGCATAACAAAGAATGAACCTACAGAAATTAAAGCTAGAAAACGACATAAAAACTTAGTAATAATTTTGGTTTAGAGTATCTAAATTAGTAAGGTAGATGCATTAGAGTATTTGTTTTCCTCGTATCCCAGGTTAGTTGGATTTTGCTCAACTTGGCAGCTCCTGACAACAGAAAAACAGATGGAGATGACACCAAAAAGACTTGAGCTACATATTGGCCCAAATAGTTTTGAGAAGGAAGGGCTGCAAGCATGGAATCTGCTGTGGTTTACTGGAGCACTTATAGGCCCAGGATCTGCTGAAGCCAAGGCCATCCACCAGAGGTGAAAGCAGGGAAAAAAGGTCCCTCCATCGAGTAAATGCTGTTCCCACGAGGTAAAATGATTTGCCTAAATTAAAATTTTATTTTAAGGGGAGAATAACACAGAAAAAAACCAGGTTTTTCAATATTGTATCACGGTCTAGAAGTACCAAATACCTACCGCATCACTTTTTCTGATTGCCAGGGAAGAACCTAGGTTACACTGCGCGCGCGAGTTTTATCCCAATTAACGCAGCTCAACCTTTTCCGCACGGATAGGCCCGCGGGACAGTAACGGCTGATAACCTTCTCTAGCGGCTTTTCCCGGTACAACTTTCCCAGGTACCCGTCACGGCTATGGGAAAGGCTCATAAGGGCCATAAAACCGAGATCCCGGGCCCCTCGGCGAGCCG